CTTCCAAGAAGCTTTCCCTGATTCACTTACAGTATCGCTGATATTTTGTTTTAGAACAGACTTTAATGCTATTTGATTAAGTTCAACTTTACCCCACTCCCATTTTTCAGATGAAAAACTTGAGGCCCAAAGATATTAAATGATTTGCATAAGGTCATGCTGTGAATTCAGTGGTAGAAATTTAATCTGAAGCCAGATTTCCTGACCTACTTTGCAATTTTCTTTCCACACTGTCACACTTTGTCCCCATCAGCACATCCCCCACACGCAAGTATGAAGTGTGGTGTCATGATGATAAACTGGCATTTGTTTGGATTGTTTTTCACCTGTATTTTTTGACTTATCTCAACCACCATGGTCTAATAATTCTTAAGGGAATGAATCATGTCTAATATTTCTGCCCCTCTTCTTTTTCTCCATGGCACCTAAAAGGACTGGCAGTAAATGCATCTTAACTGCAGACTGCTTAACTTAAAGAAAATATAAAAACAGAACCAAATAAAACAGGTACATACACTCCAGGTGGATTGTTTTATTACATTCATATTCAAAAATGTTCCTCTAAACAGGGACCTCCTATAGTGACCTTGGTTACAGATTATTAACTATCATCGAGAGAGAGAGAGAGAGAGAGAGAGAGAGAGAGAGAGAGAGAGAGACAGAAACAGAAACAGAGACAGAGACAGAGCTGAGAAACCTATAGGTAAAAATGTAAGAATCACTGCTCCTCTTACAGGCTCAAAAAATAAAAGGGCATTAATACGTACTTCCCACCTTGCCATACAGAGGATTTACACTGTCCTTGTCTCACAGCCTCCAACTCAGCACTATGTTCTGGTCTCCCTCAGCTCAAAGTTGAGTGACACAAGTTCTAAATGTCTGTTCTACTATTAATTATCTCTGTGACCTAAGACATATCACTTAATCTCACTAGACTTGTGTTTTCGCATCTGTAAAAGGTTAGGGAGTGGGGTGTGGGATAGAAGTCAAGATTTGCTTTGCCTCATACATTTGTTGTGAAGCTTGAGAAAATATATGTGAAAGTAAAAATCAAAAGGCATTATATAAATGCAAGGTATTAACTTTTTAACTCCTAATTTTATATCAGTCAAATCCTAGGAGACTAGAGCAAAAGAAAGGATAACAGGTTTGCATTTTAATCCCATCTAAATTAATTGTCTGAATCCTTTACCTGCTTTTCTTCATCCTATCTCTTTATTTTATTTAGTAGAATATTATAAATGTTGCTATTTTGGCTTTGCACATTGCTGAGGTGTCAGGAGGCAGGGAGGTTGGCAGCTGCTAAGACTAGAGAAAGGCACCTACTTCTTCCATGAATTGCTCTAAAAGGGAGGGTTTAGGGAAATTGAAGCAGTTGGTGGGGGATGGGTAGAGAAAAGGGCTTCCACTCTAGCTCTCCAGTGTCACTCTATCATTTAATATTGAAAAGAAAATGGGGGGGGGGAGGAAGAAGAGCTTGAATTTTGCTAAATTTCTCAGGTTTTCTCTCTTTTGCTGCTCCAGGACTCCTAGAATACCTAAAATCAAAGGATCTCTGTGCTAGGTTAGATGGACTTTATTTTGAGTGTAATCATGACAAATGCTAAAGTTGGAGGTGAGGTAGCACACTGCATACTCAAAGATAGGACTCCACTGTACTGATCTATCCTGTCACCTAACCCAATTGAGTAACTTATATACCATGTCCAAATGTCCCAGGTTAGGGGCAATGTCTGCCCTGGGATATCCAGAACTGTGTCCACTCAAGCCACTGTGGAGATGGTCACTATTCCTATCTTTTATTTAGCTTTTGGCCTTTATATCAGAATTGTTAAATTAGAAAAGAGCCTCTTAGGAGATCATCAATTAGCTGAAATATCAAATGCTGTTAAAAAGCAATGCAGAAAAA